ATCAATCAAATGTCAGGGCGGTGTAAAGAATATTAAAAGAATTTGTGGATGATGTCAAGATTCTAGGGAAGGAGGCAGTACAGTCGCCACTCCTTCCATCTCTGGATGGGGTTCTTCAGTGCAAATAAGAACTATGTCAGATCTTTCTTTTCAGTTTTTTTTTGTACAATTCGCGATTTTCTTAAGTGTCGCGGTATTTCTTGAATTTTCCAGACGACGTTGTGGATGTTGTATACAGCTTTCTTAAGCAAAGAAGTTACTCTTCCAATCCCGCAGTTAAGCCCAATATATTTTTGCAGGTGCCTAAATCATCTGTATTTTGTCGTGTGCCGGGTCGAACGATCAGCGAAGTTGGAGCTACCCAAAGGGTGTCGGGAAGAAATTGATTACTGCACAAGGATTTGGAAACGTCTGGTTGATTTCATCGAAGATCCGGAGGAAGAGGATAGAGCTGGTACAGCGGAGAAGTGAGTGGTCATTTCAGTAGTTTATTTGTCACTGTTGTTATTTTCTCTCATCATTTTGCTATAGGTTTCGAGAATGACTTATTATTTGGGATGGAACAGTTGGCCTCCTATAAAGTTTGAGTGTTGACAGTTCCCAGTCGCAATTGCAGACTTGCCTTCTCGTTTGCGATGACCCGGAACATCTTTGAATTATGTAGCTTTTTGATGATCTTGATGTCAGGTGATGCCACATGTGATAGGAAGGGTATAATAACGACAGCAGGAAACAGTTTAGACACATTTAACTACCCCCTCTCCTAGTCAGTGGCTGTCCAAAGTGTTGGGCAGAGTCTGCGGGTGGTTGCTCTGCGCTAACTGCGCCTACGGGCATCCATTGCCACCCTAGAGTTATTCAAGCTGTTTTCCGAAAAGAATTATAAGCAGATAAGGGCCCATTCTTGGCGTCTGTCTAGTACCAAAAACCGGAGAGGGAGGACGGGTCGACTCGTTTACTGCTTCGTTTTTGGTCGCCTCCAGTAGAAATGATTTTCTCTTCCTTTTCACATCTTTAGACGTTTGATTGTTAATTCAATCAGATTCTCCATACGTTTAGACCTTGTGCGATCTGCTGCCAGCCGGTGTCTCGAGCAGTCTACTTTGGTGGTCAAACATATCACTCGGAATGCGCCAATTTGTGGGTGAATGATGTGAACTCTCTGCTCCCGAATATGCATTTGGTTTCATAAATTCGAAGCGTGGAAAGGCGGGAAGGCCCATAAGGAAGGTCCTTTGTAATTACTTGAACAATTTCGTGCTGGACCGTTTCGCATAGGTCTCTGTCTCTTCCTTCCGTTCGACCACCAATTTGACTTTGTCCAGGACTTGGTAAAGATCCTGTTTGCTCACTAAAGGCAACTCTTTTCTTTTTTGTCTTTCCTGGTGAACACGTATTGCTTTAGCTTTTCAATCGATTCTAGTGCTTTTTATTCGTGGCGCCTCACTCTTCAGCGTGTTTATTCCATACTTTAGCCTTCTAAGTCACTTTTGGGCCATGTTCTCTTCTATATCGTACTGTTTTGTATTTGTACTACTGGGTCTTATTTGAGCTGTTTTTCACTAGTCTATTGGTGTTTAGTGCTCATAGCCTGTCATTGTTTTGTGAAGTTCAATTGTATGAAAAGTTCACTGCAACTTGTTTATGATTGGCTGCCAAGGATTTCGAAGAGTGGGAAAGAAACGCCGCCCATCGAGAAGGTTCACTAGGCATTATAAATTTTTACGATTAATTTTTTTGGTAAAAACGCGGGGTTTTTTATTTTCTCACTTACTGCTAGTCTTGTTTTCTATTTTGTCTAACAAACTCTTCACGTACTTATGGAGCGTTGAGTAGGTTAAATTTTTTGATTGAAATTTTTGCACTTGGCTGCTTGAGCTCAAGTCGCAAGCGCAGCAAAGCTACCGCCTCTAATCGAACTGGCATCCGTCCACGTTTTTGTACTGGATGAAGTGCCAAGTGAAGAATTTTTACTGCTCAGAAAAAGAAAGGCCTTATTTTTCTATGATTTCGGTGTATTTTCTCTTCTTTTTATTCACTGGCGGACCTACTGTTCATCTTTGACCCTTTCAGCCCTGAATATTATTTTAAGTTTGAAGGAATTTTTCTCCTATTGTGGCTGGCGAGTGCAAGGGTGGGTTGGAAGCAAAGTTTGGAAGGAGAAGGCTGCTCGAAGCTACTCATAGCATTGAGTAATAAAAATATGTCGCGCCGAAAATGCAGGCATCTGAATTTCGTGATGGCAGTTGCTACCGCTACGGCCGAAAGTGTGAACCTAATGCTAACCAGAAAGAGAAGAACTTCGAATTTTGTCTTTGAAAACATAAAGTAAAGGTCCTTCCTCTGATAGCCTTGGTTGGGATAATGATCGAAGAAATCCTACGGCCTGGAATTGATCGCAAAACGTACCTCATGTGAGCAAACTGTGGTACTGTATACTACGAGAAGACTGAAGTAGGAACTATAAGTAGGATCGAAGTATTACAGAAAAAGTTTCTATTCAAGTGACAGGGGTGTAGGATTCGATGGATGAAAAGAGTTCACTTCAGGGTGGTCATCGTCACCCACTTTTTGATTATCGAGCACGAAATCGTGGTTCAGCTGCCCTTGAAGGCAGTTCAGCGCCAGCCTTTCAAGTCCTTAAACACCTAAGCTAAGGCATTCACGACTTTGAAGGCCTCGTTCCTTCTCGAAATTTTCGGTGCTCGATCACATCTCCTTGTTCAGCATCGCCTCGGTAAGTTAGGAAACCACAATTGAAGACAGGGATAGATATGTCAAATAGGAAAGTCCGGCGAGGGGTGGTTTTCGGCCGACAGAAGGGTTGGGGGGGGGATCGTATGCGAAGGGCTCAAGATTGTAGTGCGAGGAGATCTTCAAGGATAATAGCTTGTGCCGTAGGGATAATTAGCGCTAATAAACTCAAACGACGTAGGCTAATGCGCAAGTTTGCATTGTTGGTCTCCTAATCCAATACTTGTTTACGGGCAAAAGGGTGGAGGGTGGCAGCTATCCGAAGCCTCTATAGAAAGGAGGGGGTCGTAAAGTTTTTGAAACCGCACCAACCTGACGAGTGACCCTACTTCGATCTGTGACCGGAAATCGCGAATTGGAAGGATAGGCGACCTGGTTCTTTAATCCTCTTGCGGTGTGAGTACGCTCTAGTGCCTTCTTCTACATGAAAGTTTTGCGGTACTCGTTCGATTGTGAGGCGAGATCTAAAAGATCGGGAAGAATGGGGCACACGGGTTTTCTTGAAGCCATGAATGGCGAAATTAAATATATAATGCATTGAGAATTCGGATGCGGCTCATTCGGACCTCCCACTCGGCGGGGCAGGGTGATCATTGCAGTGAGTGAGCCACTTACCAAACTTGGGACTAAGCCGAGAAGGGAAACGATTTTGAGGAAGCATGTAGCCATTTGTGTTCCTCCTGGCTTTCTCCCTTCTCCTGGGCTTGGCCCATGTGTCACTTACAATCAGCCTGTTTTCAATGTCCCCCCCCCCCCGCACTAAATAAGCGCCTGAAGCCCCAATTGCACGCTTCGCTGAGCTTCCCGGGATTATCAGGCTAGTGAATCAAAAAATGGGATTCCGGTTTTCGTCTCCGTTAGTCTTAACCAGACGGGATTATTTCCGATGCGCCATACATACGCTATGGGCCGGGGAAGGCTTGGAACGATTGCGAAGGTATACGGTAGAGCCTTGGCCTATGTTGCCAATGGTGCGCCATGAACAGTCGCGGGACTGAAAAGCTTGTAGACGATTCTAAGGGTACTAAATGAGAACGGTGGCCGGAAAAGTGCTGGAAAATCGGATAAAAATGGCCACCTTTCGCTCAAAAACAGCAGGCGCCATGTGCCTCCAGGGGAGGGAGGGGGGGGGGGTGGGGGAAATCCATAGGCGGGCCACTAGGATTAAGCCTAACAGAGAGGCGTGAATTTGTAGAGAATGGGAATTGTTTACGCACCTCGGATTCTGTCTTCTACTCTGTGGGCCCTGAGCGCTTCCGTGAACTTCGTACCCATCTAAACCTTCAACGTATTCTGCTGGGATGCGCCATGACGCCGTTCTCTTGCTAGTGGGGTCGACTGAAGGAATTAAAATTTCAGTGTACCAAACGGCAGCTCCAGAAGATCCAATCTGGCATCCATGGATAGAAGCGCAGTAGGAGGGGGTGGGTGGAGGGATTTGGTGCAAAGCACAACACCTTTAAAAAACCCCAAAATCTTTCAGTATTATATTGATAGCTCGAAGTATCGTGGGACCGGCAAGACTGCGTTTCTCTGTGGCTTCAAAACCGCAGTGATATTTGAAGCCTCTACTCTTTTGCTCTGCCTTGTTACTTACAAATTCGGTCCTTGGTCGCAGCGCTCGTAAACAACCCCCCTCGCGACATCAGTAAGATACTCTTTTAGGACGGACGGAAATGTTGTCTTTTCTGAGAAAAATCGTGAGCACAACCAGCACTAAAATGCCCCTACCGCTGAATTATACCCAACATTTTTAGTCATTTTAGTGTCGAACACCCGTTTTCTGTCGTAACCTCCACACCAAAAAATTAGGCGTCAGATTACGGTGACTGCGTAGCGTCTGCAATTACACGGCTTTGAAAAAAATGACGTCACATTGCTTCTTCCAACATTTTCGCAAAATGAATTCCTTATAGAGCCGTGTAAATATTGCTTCAGTTGTTCCTTTGCCGCTTTCCTGCTCGTTTGATTTACAGCAAAGTCTAGCGTAGTTTGCGATCAAAACTGTCTCTTTCGAGGCTTGGCGACTTCACTTTTGAAGTTTCAGTGATGAGCGAGGCTTCATTCGTTCTAAATTTTTGCTTTAGGTATCTCATTTGTAGGACATGGGGAAGCATGAACGAGGAACACCGAAGGATATTGCAAATAGGATTAAATCGAAAGGCCTGCAGAAGCTGAGATGGTTTGTTTTAGTTTTTTGGTTGATCACTGTTTTTGTAATTGGAGGCACGTCCTGTATTATTTCTCCATTTTGCATTTTAATACCTTTATATATGGGTTTTTATGTTTTTAACCGAATATTTTGTAGTGAGATCCAATCACTTAGTTTGTATTTTGAAGGTTCTGTCAAATGTGTCAGAAGCAGTGTCGTGATCAGAACGGTTTCAAATGCCATCTTACCTCCGAATCCCATCAACGGCAACTTCTGCTCGTCGCCGAGAATACTAGCTCTTTTCTGAGACAATTTAGCAGAGAATTTGAAGCAAATTTCATGCAGGTAATTTTTCTTGATATCCTTAATGTTGTCTATTTCATTTACAATTTTGTCTTGAATCTCAGAAACCCTCGAGTAGTGCAATATATGCCTCTCTACGCAGCTGATTGTCAAATTTAATTGTGATATGAAGTTTGGAAGGATGTGTGATGCCATTGAAGACTACGTTTTTCCAGATTTTGAAGACCTCTTTTGGAACTAAGCGAGTCCGTGCTAATGAAGTCTACCAGGAGTACATTAAGGACAAGGTATGAAACTGATTGAGCTTTTTTGAAAACATTTTTTGGTTTATTTTGCAACTTCGTATAATGTATGCTATACGAAGTTTTATTTCTCAATTGGATGCTTTGTCAGATTTTGCTACCATTCCCTAGCGAATCACTCGATTCAATGCCAGCTCTTCACTGGCTCGCTCGCACCCCTCGAATCGCGCGACTCACTAGCGATTGGTCGCAAAGTTTGAAGCCTCCCTTTACATTTTATTTTATATCTTAAATAGTGTAAAAACATTATAATTCAGGGACACGTTCACATGAACTCGACGGTATGGCATACGCTCACAGGCTTCGTATTGTATTTGGGAAAAAGTGGCAAATGTAAAATAGATCAGAACGAGAAAGGTAATTTTCATGTGTTAATTTTTCGTCAGTTCTCTTACCAATGTTTTCCGAATCAAATTCTTCTGGATTCTGCTTAGCTTTGAGTTTCCAGTTATTTAAACTTTCAAGTTAATTTCTTTATATAAATGCCTTCGCAGTTTCTTTTTTCTCGAATTTGTTCATTTTTTAGGATGGTATATCCAATATATTGATCAAGAGGAAGTGCTAAGAAAAGCTGAGGAAGCTAAGCGAATGAAAGCTGAGAAAGATGATGAAGAACGTCAGCAGGAGATGATCAACGCTCAAGTCCGCAGGTTTGAAGTAACTGTTATATCTCCAGTGCTTTCTAACTTGTAGCACTGAATTGCTAATTTTTGATACTGTGAAGAAGTTTTTTGATGAAAATCACATTTTTAGAGCGCTAGAGCAACAGGGTGAAGTGTATGAGCCTCAAGCAACCGAACTCATCAGAAGTGACGATAGTGAAAAGATCACTTTGAATCTTGAATTTGGATAAGAAACCAACGGCAGAGGTTAGTGTTATGGTTTTTAGCTTGTTTTAACGTATAATTTCACTGATTTTCTAGTTGCTGTTGTTTACTTATCAATTGATCTGAAGCTAATGCGTATTTGACTTTCATCTGGTTCGGAATGTTCTTTGCAATGCTCGCAAGCAGAAATTTTTTGTAATACTTCAGCGCTTCATGGAATATACTGGAAGCTGATGACTTCAGTTTTTTCCACGTATTCTGAATGCCTCATTTCAGGATTTGAAGCGACCTGTATTTTCCGGAGTGTCGGTGTTTGAACAAATCAAGATGAAGAAAGAAGAACCAGCAAGTGATGAGGAAAGACCGAGTT